TCCGTGCAAAGAGGAAAAGTAAAAGATACGGGCTTTGATGGTACCTCTTGTGCTGCTTTAGTATCTTTTATCAAATTCATGACATTTGGAGCATCCAAAACCTCCCTTAAACTATGCCTACAGATAATAAATAATTAGGCTAAAGAGATAAGATAAAGAAAATACAGCAGTGCCCACAAGCAATTGAACTTAAAAGTTAATCCTTAAAATAAGAGTCAGTTACTCTATGTTTGCAGCCATATTTTTAGTCAAATACGCATAAGAAATATTACACAGAGAAAGATTAAGCAAGTCAAAGCCACAGTTAATGGATCAGCAAGCCACAACAATCTTCACATTGTTCATGTTAATTCTAAGTACCTATGAAGCTTTTTGTAGCCATACTAAAAAAGTAGGAAAAATATGCAAATAAAGAAAGCAAACCATACTTGTATCTGAAGTTGTATGCACAAGAATGATGCGTGGATTTGTTTTCAATAATAGGTCGCAACTGTCTTTCGTTCTGCCTCCAAAAATAAGTGACGATGAAACTGATCCGAAACAGAAACAGAATTTCAAAACCTGTCTTCACTTAAGCAAGAAAAAAACCACTAAAGATGATTTAGACTTATAATAATACAATGCCAAAAACACACAATCAAATTTGTAAAATATCACCAAGAATAAAGCAACCGGAAATCATTGCTCACCTGTGTTAAATCCTGGGACTTGCAATTACCAGCACAGCGAACCACGTTGAAATCGATATGTTCAAGAAGCCTAAACAGATTCGTAGAATTCCAGTAATTTGTCAATGCCCCTTTTACACTTTGTTGAATGTAAAAAATATATTGATTAAATATAAGAAAGAAATACAAGGGAAAAAGATCATGATAATATCCTCTTAACAAGAGGAAAGGAAAACATATAAAATACATTATTCATCCATAAGGAGATATTTGATAACTGGCATTCTCATTCTCATCCAGGCATCTAATATTATCCAACAAGATGCCCATATTTGGTGCATGGGTATGATATTATTACCGTGAGTATCTCATTGCTCGGGGAAAGGAAGTGGCTATAAGTCAACTAATGAAGAACACCAATTCAAAACTAGCTACACATATATAACATAACAAGGAATCAGGTGATATAGGCTTTGAGGGGGTTTTGAATTGCATTTATAGCATTAGCTTTATTTCAGAACCACCTTAATGAAAAAAAAAATTATAATCATAGTTAAATCCATTTCAATTTTTTTAATATGGAATATGTATCACTAATGAGAATAAAATGTAAAGATAAGAAATTTAATTCCTTATTTACCTGCATAAACATTCCGAAGGAACTTATCCAAAGCCTACAAAAGGAGAGATGATTTAGAATTGTATAACTCAAGTTATATAATTCATTTCACTGACGTCTTACAATATGTGACAGATCTTTAACTTTCTCATAACCAGCAATTCAGGCCCATGGCTTGCGTGGAATAGATGTTTCTATCCGTGATCGAGTAACAGTCATACGTTTTATGAATAATACGATGAATCATTTCATTGTAATGACACAATACATGGAAAAACATAAACTAGAGTATCAACAAGAAGCAGAACGTGTATTTAATTTCCAGGGTTTGTGGTTACCCACAGAAATCAAAACAAAAATAACAGGACCAAGTTTAATATGAGTGCTGAGCAAAATTATCTTATGGATAAAAATGCTATTATAAGTAATACATATAAATGAAACCTAGTAAATTTATAGCCAACCTTCTACCAACAAGGAGGATATGAGCTAATCCTTCCTGCATCAACACCACTGCTAGATCAGCACTTGCACCGGCTACAAAATATGGCATGGATTTTCTTCACAAGTTAGATACTAGATTTACGCAACAGTCAGACAACAAATGACCACATGAGGATGTTAACCCTTTGTTTGCTGAAAAACATGACTGGTTCTATATGATAATTTATTTATTCTTTCCACCATTTCTTCGTTCTAAAACAACTATTTGTAAAGGTGTGCAGGAGATTTAAGACATCTCATAAAGTAGAAATTTCAACAATTTTATCAATGAAAATAGGTAAAGAAATATCTTCATTTTCAAATGAGAAATATTTGTATTTCCACGCAAAAGGACTACGCCACAAAATTTCCATAATATAAATATCTATAAAAGAACTGAGACATTCAATAATTGATACGTACCAGAGGCCTGCGTAGCACATCCAAAGCCAAAGATCCAAAACATCCTACAAGAGGCAGAATATAATATTCAGTCATTGTGATGCAAAAACGCTTATGGAACATGAATAGTGTAGCTGACGATCTGACCCTACTATGCATGCATGATTGTTGGCATTTAGTTTCATTTTGCTTTGTCTGTGTTATCCAAATCAGCCGCTGTCTTCCACTTTAACACTCCATTGCCTTCCTAGGTTACCTTCATTTTTTATTATTAAACCCAATACATCGTTTGCCACACCTTGCGATATGTTTGATACAAGCACAAAGGCCGGGATTACCTATGCTATGAGCCGCGAGTGCTAACATTGCGAAATGATTGTAACAAGTAGCACAATGATTCAAGAGAAAATACCTTTTGACCACAAACGGTCGCGTGCGTTCAAGTTTAGAGTATGGAAAGCTCTATCTGCAACGCGTTACAAAAGCTGAAAACTTAAGTGCGGCAGTCAGTAGAGTAACAATTTGGAGAAGAAATCTGGATGACAGTCGCAGTTCACTACCTTGACATGTTCATTCTCTAAAATGTTCTTTCCACGAACACGGAGAATAGAACCTTCTTTGTCATAATCAGCAACCTAGTATAAAACAAAATCAAGATAACACAACCTGAAAAACCGAACAGAAATCCTACTGATAGCACAAATACCTCTTCGACTTTAATTTCCAGTTTGAGCTTAACGCGCTCTGCATCTCGACCGCCATGAGCGGCCTCTCTAACAACCTTCCTATTAAAGTTAGGACAAGCAAGAAAACGAAAGAAATATGAAAATTGAAAAACAGATTATGCGATCAAAGAAAGCAAGAATTGAGAGAAAATAGCACCTAACAGTAACGGCCATGACAGAGTCTCCGGGAGCAATCAAGTTATACGCAAACCACAGATCATCGGAATCCACCGCCACCATCTGCATAGTGCACAGAATAAACGTGAAGAAGAAATTTCATGGAACTAAGGAAACTGAAGTGTGGAGAATAGGAATTGAACCTTAACGCTACCAGGTCCATTAGGAACGATGTCTCTGCGAACGATCCTCATGGCTGTGGATACCACCGGCGCTAAACACCACACTTTCTTCCTTTTCTCTCTCTCCTTGAAACGACTGTTGAAACTTTAGGTTTTAAGAATAAATAAATATTCTATTCATTTAAAAAATATATTTTTAATAGTTGAATAAAACATTAATTAAAATATAAATCTTTGTATCAATATAAAAATATAAAAACTATAAAACACATTAATAAAAATATAAAAACTATAAAACAAAATTTCATTGAACTCTTGACTTCAAAATAAACTTATGTGAGTTATCATTATAACTTTTCACATCTCAACTTACTGACATATTAAAGTGCATCAAAGATTGCTTAAAAGTTATTTATACTTTTATATTATTATTATATAAAGATTATTCACTATCCTTTAAGCATTCTTTTATCAAAATAATTATTTACGAATTTTTCCTTTTAAGTGACTTTTTTTATAAAAAAATTACCATTTTTTTTAAATTTAACTATTTTTCCAAGCTAAAAGAACTATTTATAATAAAAAAGTTATCTAAAAAAGAAAACATTGCAATTATTTAAAAATATTTTTAATTATGATAACAATTTTATTAGTTTTTATTATCATAAAAGAAAATGAATGTTTATGCATGTATTTTTACTAGTTAAAATAAAAAAAAAATATGAAAACACAGTATTAAACTCATATAAAAGTTATACTTCATCACAAACTATATTTATTATTAAAATATTTAAATGAATAGAAAAGGTTAATTACAATTTTTTTCCCAATATTTTAAACTTTGATTCATTGAAAAGGTGATTGCCCTTAATTGAAAAGGTGATTCAATAGAGCTTTTTGGTATCTTTACCATAGATTTTGTGATGTGACGCTCCATCCACCACCTCATCTTCTCTTTAGAAATTTCTAATTTTTTTAAAATTCTAAATTCATCCATTTTATTTTTTATTTTTATCAATTTTATTTTTTATTTTTTAAAACCTCAATTTCAATCTCTTCTTACTTTTACTTTCCCTTTCATTCTTGGCAACAAGTCTCTATCTCCAACTGTCATTTTTTCTCTTTCTCTTAATTTTCACTTCCGTTAATTGCTGTCTCCATCTTGCAAAATTTGAAAGAAAATGAAAAATGTTGTGTTAATGGAAGTGGAAATTAAGAGAAAGAGAAAGTGAAGGTGAGAAGAGATTGGGATTTGGATTTAAAAACATAAAAAGTAAAATTGGTAAAAGTAAAAAGTGTAAATTTGGAATTTAAAAAAAAAAATGAGAAGGTGTAGAGAGAAGATGGGGTGGTGTAGGGAGCATCAAACTCTAACTTTTTCTATTAAACATAGAGCTGTCAAAACGGGTAATCTGGCTCGACCCAGTCCGGCCTACACGGCTCACTACGGGTTGGTTACTTAGTAAGCCAACCCAACCCGGCTCACTTATTAGCAAGCTAAACAAATTTGAATTGAGTCCGACCCACCACGGGTTGGTGGGTTAAATGGGTTGACTCAGTAGCTCATTTATAGTGTTGTCAAAATAGGTTGTAACCCGCAAGCCAACTCGTTCTATCACGGATTTGAGCTGGGTTGGGTTTAAAAAAAATGTAATTATTTTATGCGGGTTAATTTTCTCGGTTCACTCAAATTAAACCTGTGATAAGTCGGATTGAATTTGTGGTGAACCAGATTAACTCACCAACCCACCTAATTTAATTTAATTATTTATTATTTTGTATTTCAATATTATTAGTTAACCGTTTTTTTATTATATTGTAGATGAGATAGAAAAATGTTTCAAAAGAGAAAAATATTATAAATTTATCTATTCAAGACTCTAATATTATACAACTAATAAAAATTAAATATTAAAAATTTTATTTGTTTGTCTTTTGTACTTATTTTTGGATTTCGCTTGAATTATATCATATATTTTTTTTTACTTTAAATTGTCTTTAACATCATTTTAAAATAAAATTTATTTATATTTGAATTAAAAAAATTATAATATTTTAATTTAAAAAAACTTATAATTTTTTTAATTTAAAAAAGAACTTATAATTAAGGAGCTAAATAAAAAATTATAAATTGCTATTAGAAATTGTGACTCTTACTTCATAATAAAAAATCTATAAAATGATATTAAAAATTATGTAGGACCCTAAACATGGCAACAATTAAGATTAAGACATTGTATAATAAGTTTACCTAGGGAATCCTACAAAATATCCTTCATTTTAAGGAACTTGTTTAAATTGACTGAAATATGCAGAAAACAAAACACAAATGTGTTACATTCTAAGTCATGTTGGGCTTAATTCCAAGGATGGACATAAGAAATTGGAGTTTCTCCTTGATTTCTAAGGGGTGGATGGAGTTCTCATTGAGAGATGTTGGAGGCTCAACTCCAGTGAAGATGTAAAGAGCCTTCAATTCATCTGCACATGATGCTTCCTTTCTACCTTCATATCCTACTATCTTCCTTATCACATTAATCTCTTTCCACATCTTCTCATCACCCAATACTACCTGCAAAAGCTTCAGTAAACACTCCCATAATAATCAAATATGTTGCAATAAAACTTTTAGTTTATGTATATAAGTTTAATCATACACTAAGTGAATTATTTCCACATAGAATGCAATTAATTAGGCATTGACCTCTTCAGAAGAAGAGATAATGTTTTCTTCAGAGGAGCATTCAGATGGCCAAGACTCTTGTTCTACAGAGGAAACAAGAACTTCCATAGAATCTGTGCATCTGCCAATAATTGAAGATTCTGCAACATACAAATTAATTCAGATATCAGGGCTCAAAACAAAAGTTAGTCCTCTAGACACTGTAAAATGGCAGACTTATTCTATGGTCCATACCTTCATGCAAATCAATTGTGTATGTCTTCTCATCAGGGTCTATCTGTTTTCCATCAAACAAATCATGTGCACTTTCATTAGCAATTTCTCTAGCTTCTGCATCTTCCAAGTACATCCTTTCATTTAATTTATGCATTTGAGATTCTTGATTTTCTGAGTCCTGAGAAGAGTTCTCATCCATTTGAATGTTATAAACCATTGTTTCTATTGGTGAAGCTTCAATTGGTTCATCTGGAATCAGTATTTCAGAAGGTTCTGCCAATGACTTCCTTGAATCATTTGTTGTGTCAAATTCTTTTCCTTCTAACATGTTATCCATATTTTCATCATTTCTTGAATGAAGCATCTCCTCCCGTAGATTTGGATCTTCTTCCTTTCTCAAGTCTTCTCCAGTTTCCCCAATGGTACTATTTTCTTCTGCCAATGATTCTTCCATATCTTCAACAGAACCAATTCTTTTACCCCTTTCATCTGCCCCTCTACATATTCCTTCTGCATATTCTCCTCTCTCCCTAGTCTTATCAGTTCTACCCTCATCTCTAATTTTTTCTAACAGTCCCTTTGTTTCTCTTTGTAACTCTGCTTCCTCTTTATCACCCTCCATGGGCTGATCCTGGGATTCATGTAAAAACAAAGTTTTAACCTCAAAGGGAGTCTTAAATTCTTCATAGTCCTCACTAAATGGCTGCACTTGCACTCCATTATTTTCTCCTGGTGAGTTTTCTTCAATTCCATCAGTGGCATATTCTTCTCGTGGACCACACTCACTCCCCACTGTCACATTTTCTCCATTCTTCATACCAAAACCATCGATTTCAATGTCTCTCTTTGCTTCATCTACAAGGGCTTGTTCCTCTCTATATATCTGCATATCATCACAAC